CTCCTGAAGACAGGCACCCCCCATAACTATAGACACTTGGTCATAGTCCCACATACACTGTACAAGAACAACATTACTGGTACTAACCATTCATAAACTGAAACTTCTTCTGAGTGGACACATTTCTGGTCTCAGGGAGGGCTCTGTCAGTTTGACTTACATATTCCCCTGTTAGAAAATCAGAAACTGGTTATTTACCTTTGTTGTGTCTTGGTCCTGCTTCTCGGAAGACTGCGTCTCTCCAGTGGAAGTAGAACTTGATGCAGTGGATGTTGAAGGGGCACTAGACAACGAGCTGCGATCAGCAGCCGTAGTGGACGTGGTCGTCACAGATGACATGGATGAACTAGAAGAGGATTGTTGAGATGATTGTTGCTGTGCTTGAACCTCTCTCATCTGTGGTCTGTGAGATTTGGAATGTAAATGACAAGATCAAGATCTTAATACATGTACTCCAATTTTGTATCAAATTTTAATCATTTGTAACAGTGCATGTACAATACAGCTTAAAGGTAATCTACAGTAAAAACAAACATGCAGAACACAACATGAAAAGGGTACAAGAACGGGAACAGAACATATACAATTGGATGTGGAATGAATACAGAAGAGGCACAGAACATTTACAGAAAAGAAACAAAATGGACACAGAATGGGTTACACATGTAGGTGATTGAAAACAAGGGAAAGCATTTCTGAGATTGCTTATTACAGATCATGTTCTTGAGAAGCCCAAATAGACGTGCTTGGAATTTCCAAGTGCATCTATGCAAGTGCAACAAGATTGAAATGTTGCTTCATCACATAATTTTATTTCAGTTAAACTCAGAGACAGAAATTACAAACATCCATCTTATCTTTGTGGTCATTCATCTTTCTCAAAGTGTGCAGTCATTAAACGTTAGTTCATTCATGTTAATTAGTTTATTATTTAAGTTTATTATTTAGTTTATTATTTAAGCTAAATAACACACTGTACCATCTGTTGAAGATAGCTGGAACATGATGTTTAGCTATTGACTGGAATTTCCTCACAAACACCTCAAGCATCCTCATGAGAATTTCACGTCCCTGAAAAGTTACATCACAAGAAATAGTGATCAACAATAAACACAGCATCACTTTGGAAGACAAGGAGAAAAGCAATTTATTAGTCAAATATCACTAGGCCCATCAGGCTGGCGCTAATCTCTGCTTTCTGTAGCATGAAGTGACTAGTAATATTTCTACGCCCCTCCCTGGATGGGATGCTGGTCCATCGCAGGGTTACCCCAAGCATTAAATTCGCCAGTACTCAATTTAACACCTGGGTGGAGAGAGGCACTGTGAGAGTAAAGTGTCTTGTTCAAGAACACAATGCAATGTCCCCAGCCAGGGCTCAACCCGGACCGCTCGATCTGGAGACAAGTGCACTAACCATGACACCACTGCGCCTCCACCAGATATCACTAAGAAAGGATTAAATGCAGCACACTTACAGTTCCCTGCTCCTCACTGTT